TTGCAAAAATGTGATTTGCACGCAAATAATTCTGTTTCACAATATATTTCAGTATACTTGAAAAGATTACATCGATGGATACTCAAAACACAAGCTTGGTACAGAATACATCAATGTTTTTGCGATAGAAAAATCACAGAGAAAACCAGCACTGCTTGTATAAATGTTGACAAAGTATTCTGTACTAACTCAAATATTTTGGTGAAACAATCACAGAGAGATCACAATAATGCAGACGTAAAACCAAAATATACACACAGCAATAACATTATTTTTTTTTTGAAAAAAATAACAGAGAACTGGTAAATGTTCTGTTTGTGATTGGTCCACCTGCAAGAATTTCCATCGGTGCCACATGTTAGGCAGATATATGGAGGTCATCACTAGGTAGGATGTAGATGCTGAAAGTGGTGCAGTTTTTTCTATGACTTCATATTTAAACACTACCACTAATACCAATACACGTGCGAAATGTGCTAAATATGTAGAATTGGAAAAACATACACAACTCTCACTCACGTTGATTACTTTCAACGAAATTGTGCAGCCTTGTCAAATATGATGAATGAAGTGACTAACTATTATAATGCCAACAAATAATATTAATAAAAAAAATTGTTAAAATTGTCCAGGTATTTTCCGCAGGTATAATTGTGGAAAATGATATACCTTTGTCAACTGATCATCATATAATTAGGAGAACTGATGTTAAATACAAAACTTTTATGTAAACGTTTAAAATAATAAGGTCACACCATAATCAACATCAATCTGTATTATATATTCAGCATTATCTTTCCAAAACAAGGTGTGAACAACTTGTCTAAATCTTCTAGAAAAATGTGTTTTTTGAGTAGGACAGAAAGAAATATATGAATATCAACATCAGCTATCGGAAAGGAAAATTATGGTATGCACCATGATGTGGTAAACATAGTACTATACCAGGCATCCCTTGGCAGTGAGTTTTACAATTCCCTAATATTCGAGGAAAACAACCCAATCCCCAGCATTTGTTAGGGAAGACAGATAAACATGGATTGGTTTCTAGCCTGTTCAGAAGAGTATAAGAGTACTTTAGCACTTATTCTGTTGCGACAGCTGCCAACGTCTATGACAAAACACATCGGTGGATTTAGTCCAACTGCATGTGGTCTGCACAAAGAGGCAACAGTTGCACGTTTGGCTGCAGACGAAGAAGCAATCCAAAATATCAATGAGAGAATGGTGAACCCATTTATCATTGAACCAGGGACAAGTCTTGAAAACAGACAACCACTCCATAAACATAGCCACATCTACACCTGATGTCACCGCAAGCCAGTGTAATATTAGAGAGAATGGCAAACAACAGATGGATTTTTGTGTAATACAGAGTCTGCAACTTGGTGAACAAGACTTTTTTGATCTCATAAGAAAACGCAAGGCGATGTAAATGCCGAAAGGATGAGTTGGTATGCTCGGATGCATGCAAATGTGACTGTGAAGAGTGTTACAATGGAGTGTTGTTGTGATTATGAAAGAGTCGTTTTTGTATTCCACATGGTGTATTATGCCATATCTTTATTCAGATTTCGCAATATTATTTATTCAATGTTATTCCTTCAATGTTAAGGGAATGTGTGAATAACTTTCAATTTGTCTCGTCGTTTAGGTGGATACAACATGTAAGGTAAGTATCATTATAAAGAACGCAAGTTTTATAGGAACCTCTGCTATGTTAGTGAAAAGTAATGTGTCATAGTTCAAATCAGAGTTTTCAGTTCCATAGATTTTGTTCAGAAATCAGACATATTAGATTACATAATACAGATTGCACATTGATGCATAGTTTATTATAAAAATGGTATAACTATTTTAATTACCATGTCTACATTTTTGTTGGTCTTGTGCCAATTAGATACTATATATATGATATAGTGTCATATTATTTCTACTATTTTGTTATGATATTTAACCTCCCCAAGCTACATTTCCTCTAGCATCACATCGCGCATGGTTCTCCATTACAATAGTTGATATGCTTATATTTTAACACATATTCTGTATTTTATGTGTATAATCATTGTCAGGTTTATTAGTTGTATACTTTCAACCGATAATGAACGAATATATA